GGTTTGATTCTTTTTTTTTTTAATATGGAAGACTAAAATCCAAGGTAAACTGTAAATTGTGTAGTTGTAATAAATCACATGTGCCTGAGGCAGTGTTGTGAGTAATCCTCTTTTTTTTTAAGATCTATAAGAAGGGACTTTCTGAGAATTTGGAAAGGGCCCAGCAAATAGCACGTGATTTCATATATTAAAAATAAACTTTGATTCAGCAATCCATTTGATGTGCTATTTTTCTCCTGAAGCATTTCCCAGCTCTAGCATTTCTTCTGTTGTTTAACTGCTTAATGCTTCTCAATTTTATTTGTGTGTGGAAGAGATTATTTTTGTATTTAAATTTAATTTTTCTTCTTCAGCAATGAAACTGTCTAGCAGTATAGATGCTTCAGAACAGAAGAAGACCAAAACAAAGCTGAAGAAATTTCTCACACGGCGACCTACGTTACAAGCTGTCCGTGAAAAGGGCTACATTAAGGGTAAATTAACCTTATTTATGCAGAATGCTTTTTAACAAGCTAGGTTTTTAAAAATTTAGGTCTAGAGTAGTTCTAAAGGAAGACAGACTCATAGTTTACTGTGTAAGAACCAGTCATCTTTGTAGCAGACGGTAGATGTATGTTGGCTTATCAGTGTATTGATTGGTATATAATGGCTCTAGAAGTCACCAAACTCAGTTTAGATGGAGAATATAATCTTCAAATTATTATGGACAAGGATGAGATTCCAAGACCGTTTTGAGAACTGATGTACTTTTGGAAAGCAGAGTTTATTGGTAGGGACCTACTTTAATTGTAGTCTCATGGTTTTCATGGAAACCAAACTGTTTTTGCGGTAACTGCAAAAAATGGCATTTCCCATGATTTTGTTTGGAGTCACCTGAAAAAAAAAAGCATGGCAGTCACTACAGCCATAGAGCATGTGGTTTGAGAAAGCACTACTGAGCGGCTGAGCTGTTGACAAAGACTCAGTGAAGGTACCAGTCAGGAAATCAAAAAGGTCTTGGCACCATCTTTTAAGAAGCCATATGCAATGCTGCAGCAGTCCTGCAGCATGAACATGAGTGATTGACCTCTTGGCCAATCAGAGATGAGGGAAATGGCTGCAGAGCCCCTTGGCCAATCAGCAGTGCGGATGGTGGGTGGGGCTCACTGAAAAAAAGCACAAAATTGGCTCTGCGTGTCATGAGCTGCCCACAAAAAACACTTTGTCTTGCCATGATTTAGGTAAGTCCCTATTTATTGAGCTGCACTTTCAGCTGGAATGCAAAAACGAAAGTGAAGAAAATTGTTTTCTTGGGGTATGGAGTTTGAGCGCACATGTACATTTTCATCTCTCCATTTGGGCTTTTGCCCCATGGATGGTACCAGACAACCTTCTATTCAGAACAACCAAATTCCAAAATTAAACAACATGAATTTAAAGGAGATTTCATTAATGTCTTTATTCTTTGCCTTCCTCTTACTTTTACTGTCACTTAAATGTATTTTTTCCAAACAGTCTTGCATCAGACTTGTATAAGAATTGATAGATTGGTATGCAGTGGTTTCAATTTTTACACATTTATTTTAAAAAACCCTAAATTAAAAGTGTGCTGATGCAGATTTAAATACTTAAACCATTTGTTTACAAACACTGTTTACCTGATTCTAATTCTAGGTTTTAGGTTTTAATGTATCCAATGTACTAGAGATTGCTTTGAAGTTGAGTCCCCTTGAGTCAATAACTATGGAGATTGCCTGTGTTAGTAGATATGTACCAACTGAAACCATATTCCAACACTGACTTGCCAAGCTTCACATTTCAACTAATTTGGTTCAGTAGTATGAGCACCAACATATATACCATGTCTGTTTACGTGCCTAAATCCTAATTACAAAGTAAATTGAGATTTTTACTTGGTTTGGATGCAAGGAATTATCCGCAGACTGCCAATTTTATTCCATTCAAATACCTAGAATTAATTTCATAGATTTCATAGACATTAGGGCTGGAAGGGACCTTGGAAGATCGAGTCCAGCCTCCCACCCGAAGGGCAGGAAGTCAACTGGGGTCATAGGATCCCAGCAAGATAAGCATCCATTTTACTTTTGAAGGTGCTCAATGTTGGTGCTTGAACCACCTCCGATGGCAGGCTATTCCAGACCTTGGGGGCTCGGACAGTAAAGAAATTCTTCCTTATGTCCAGCCTGAAACGGTCTTGCAGGAGTTTATGACTGTTCGACCTCATCATCCCTTGGGGCACTCTGGTGAACAGATGTTCCCCCAGGTACTGGTGGTCACCCCGATAAACTTTATAGGTGGCCATCAGATCACCTCTGAGCCTGCGCTTTTCCAGGTTAAAGAACCCCATAGCTCTCAGCCTGTCATTGTAAGGCCCGTTTTCCTGACCTCTGATTATGCACGTGGCTCTTCTCTGGACTCTCTCAAGCTTCTCCACATCCTTTTTGAATTGTGGGGCCCAAAACTGGACGCAGTACTCCAGCTGCGGCCTCACCAAGGCCGAGTACAAGGGGAGAATGACATCCTGGGATTTGCTTGAGAAGCATCTATGGATGCAAGCCAGCGTTTTGGTCGCTTTACTAGCCACAGGCTCAATTTAATAGTTTAGTGTTTAAACCTCTGAGAGACTAGCAATAGTGTGATCACTGGGCCAAAGCATAAGTGTGTTAAACTGCTTGATTTACCAAAGCAGCTGATTAGAGTAGGGAAAAGGTTGAAAAAATGATAGGAAACAGTGTGCATTAATTAAGAATAACTGTATTTTAATATACTTTAATAGATAAAAATGTTAGTAAAATTAAAGAAAATGTTTTAAGATACAGTGGAAGAAAATGCAAATGTGCACTAAAAGATAAATGTTCTTAAATATAGTCTAGGGATTTCCTGTTAGGATTCACAGATGCAAAACGTACTACATTCCTGTCTGAAATACAAGTCTGAATTTAGGCAGGCACCAAAAGAATATTTGGTGCTGTATACCAGGGGTATGCAACCTATGGCCCATGGCCATGGGACTTTCAGGGGCCTATGGCTGCTAGATCTTTCCTCATGTCACCTTGACGAGAAGTGGCAGCACTAGGCAGGTCATAGCACCCCCCCACCTCTGACCTGAGGCTGGTACTTTTAGCTCAAAGATGGACAAGGTTACCAGCAACTGTTCTGTATGGTGGGGGAGGGTGCACAGAGAGGGGACCATTTTGTTCCAGAGAGAGCTTTCATTCAATCCTAGACAGAAGGAAAAGGTTTGCAGGGAGTCCCCTGAGAGGTGGTTCATTTATACTTGTAAATTTCCTTTTCTGTTTGCTTTTTCATGTATTTGTGAGCTTCGCAATAGAAACAAGTGATTTAGCAATTTGCTGACACTTTTGAAATGGAGAAATAAAGACCTGATGGACCTGAATTGGGAAGGTTTCCAAGTTGTGGGGCACCACTAAAGAAAGCAAAAGACATGAGGGGCAAAATGGTACAGGCCAACATCTTTGGCAAATGAAGGGGAAAGCAATGTAGAAATACCACACAATAGAGCAGGGGTGGGCAAAATGGCAGATCCAGCAGCTGGACTCCATTTCCCAGCAGCCCCTACCCGCATGCCTAGGCCAGTTTCCATGGAGGCCCCAGCAGCAGCCATGCTGTGATAGCACAAGGCTGGGATTGCTATCTGGGGCAGAGTTGCAATCTGCAGCCTGCACACCCCTTCCCAGGGCACGCAGGCTGCACATTACAGTTCTGCCCGGGCTCTGGACCACACTTGCACCACTGCAGGATCTCAGCTGGGCTCTGGAGCAGCTCTAAGCCCTGCCAGCAACCCTGGGGGGTAGCTTGGAGGGGGCTATAGCCACCCCAAAATTCCTCATAACCCCCCCATAGCCACCCCTCCCAGCAGCGCTGCCACTGCCTGCCCTGCACAGGTGGCAGCAGCTGAGCCCACCCCACTCCTGCCTGCAGCACAGCCCCCTCTTTATTCCCTACGAGGAAGAGGCTGGCACTGCTGCTGCCTCCCAGGGCTGCTGGGACTGGTTTCCATGGAAACCCCAGCAGTGCTATTACAGTGCAGCTGCTGCTGAGGTCTCCATGGAAACTGGCCCCAGCTACGCAGGGAGGGGCTGCTGGGAAATGGGAGTCCACTGCCAGCTGGATCTGGCCCGGAGGCCAGACTTTAACCGCCCCGCTACAGAGCATCAGTGGCAGATTATTCTGTCCTAACACAAAACGTGGCACAAGTGCAGACTCCAGCAAATTACTGAAAGATTTAAACTGACATGTCAAGATTCTTTGTTAAACATTAGCTTGCATCTCATTGTCCATATAGCTTTTCATTCGGTTTTGCAGTAAGAACCTCACTACATCCTTATTTTTGTTACTAGAAGGCTTTAAGAAGAAGGTTCAAAACCACTCGTTACATAACCTTGTATATAGTCATCCAAACCAGGTCCCAAGCCTGTACTGGCGTGTCTGTGCAGAGCCCAGTTTCGTGTCCCCAGGCAAACATCCATCCTTCTGCCCTGATCACACATATCACATGCTTAGAGTACTTAAGTCACTTACAGATGAACATGGGGTTAAATGGGCATATAAGGTGAAAGGTCATTTTCAGTAGCTCTTTTAAGTACTATTAAAACTAGTGTCAGAAACTTTTAATTCAGTGTCTGCTGAAACTCCTTCTCTGCCTAAAAATGTAGGCCAAGGATGACAGTAATTTTTTTTTTTTTGCACAAACCTGTGTGGTCACTCTCGTCAGGAGCACAGGATACAACAGGACATGCAGAAATCCTTTAAGTTCTTTTCTTAAAATGACAGCTGTATGGTACTTATTATAGTTTATCTAAGGGTATGAGAAGTGATTTCTGTAGGTCAGGCAGTTAGATGCTGGAATGCTGAGTGCTATAACAAAAGAGAAGTGGTAAATATCTCTTTCTATTTTTATCTATGTGTAAGTTTTATTCTAGTGTCACGATAGTGCCAAAACACAGATAAAAACTATATGCAATATTTTTACTGCAATTCCCAGATGTCTGTGAGGTAGAACTGTGAATTGGGGGTACGCTAATTTTTTTTTATTTCAGATTCCTTATGCGATCATCAGACAGACATGTTGGGCTGCATTTCAGAATTGGACTGCTCTTGTATTTGGGGATGGGTTTTCCATGGTTCAGCACCCAGCAGCTACTGCTGTTTTTAATGGTAGCTGTTGGATGCTTAGCAGTTTTCAAAGTCCTGCCTAGTGTAATTCTTAACCCTCTGGGTAACCATTTCCATCAGCTTTTACTCTGAGAGACTTTGCATGAAAGTAATTATATCGTTGAATCCCATTCCACTGTAAATTCATCTTTTTTTATTTGTTTACAGATCAGGTGTTTGGCTCAAACCTCACCAGCTTGTGTCATAGAGAAAACAGCACCGTGCCAAAGTTTGTGAAGCTGTGCATTGAGCATGTTGAGGAACATGGTAGGGTGAATATATTTGTCTTTTCTTGCCCACTGAGTTACCTAATTTTGAAAGGTTAAAGTTCTGTGGCTTTCACTTGATTCTTGTAAAGTCAATGGACTGCATACAGAGTTAGTAATTTCCTTTGGGGTGCAGATTGGAGATGGACAGAAAGGGGTCAGATCCCTATCGGAAAGTTGTAGTTGAGGCTTGGATCTTATTTGGGCATATATCAGGCAGTTCAGCAGCAGTGGGTATCCAGCAAGTAAGAGGAACTGGGAGCATCTCTTATCAATAAGGGATTTTGGACAGGAGGGGAGGAAGTGGGAAGTGGAGTGTCAGGACGTAACCAGGAAAACTGCTGTAGTAACAAAATGCCACTTTCTTAAAACAAGGCTATTTTTTTCTGTGAGTTCATTTCAAGGAAACCTTACTTACAGCATCTGTGCCTTTAGGTGACATCAGATTAGTTGAGGTCCTTCAACCCATTGCACTGACATAAGTTAAAAAATGGTTCACACAGCTGAAATGATCAACGTCTACAGTTTTTATAAATGTTGGAACATATTGAACGTGCTCTCCTGCACTCCTGTAGGCAGTAATAAAAGTACAGATCCTCTTATGCAAATATTAAAGGATGTCTAAATTGAAAACCACCCTTGCCATTCTAGGAAGTCTGCACAAGACCATAAAACGTTATAATATCATTTATTATATGTAAAAGTGTAGAAGACTGGGGTTCCAAACTTACTTTTATTTCCTCATCTATAGAATCATAGAAAATTTAGGGTTGGAAGAGACCTCAGGAGGCCATCTAGTTCAACCCCCTGCTCAGAGCAGGACTATCCCCAGCTAGATTATCTCAGCCAAGGACAGAATCCACAACCTCTCTGGGTAACTTGTTCCCTTGTTTTACTTCCCTCCTAGGGAGAAAATTCTTCCTGATATATAACCTAAACTTCCCTTGCTGCCACTTGAGACTATTGCTCCTTGTTCTGTCATCTGCCACCACTGAGAACAGTCTAGATCCATTCTCTTTCAAACTCCCTTTCAGGGAGTCAAAGGCTACTATTAAATCGTCTCTCAGCCTTCTCTGGACTAAGCCCCGCACACAGGAACCAGCTGCCTTTGCCACTCCCTGCTGTGTAGACCTGGGACTCTGTGGGGAAGCAGGGACTGGGGCTCCCCTCGACTTCCAGCGGAGTCCCAGAACCTGCATCAGAGAGCAGCGAAGGCAGCTGGCTCCAGCACGCAGGGCTTTCCCCAGTGCCATATGAGTGCCGGGAGCTCCACGTGCACTGTGCGGAGCCCCCGTGATAGAAGTGGCCTGACAGGGCTGCACTCATTGCCCCTGTGTGCAGTGCTGGCCGGAGCTGTGTGCTGCTTAGCACAGGCACAAGCACTCTGAGTGCCCCTGCGTGATGGTTTCACAGCTTCGTAAATTGTAAGGTTGGAAGGGACCTCGGAAGATCATAGAGTCCAGCCCCCTGCACCAAGCAGAAAAGGTAACTGCGGGTCAGGTGACCCCAGGTGGACATTGTGGGATACTAGATCAAAGGCCTTTTGGAAATCAGGGTATACAATGTCAATGTGCTCTCTTGTGTCCTGATGGCGAGTTACATGGTCATAGGAGGTGAGGTTGGTAAGGCAAGACCTGCCTGTGACAAAGCCATGCTAGCTGTCATTCAGAATCTTACTTTCTGTAAGCTTATCGCAGATAGACTCCTCGATGAACTTTTCTAGGATTTTCCCTAAGGTGGAAGTTAGGCTGTTTATATAGTTAACTGGGTCCTCCTTCCTGCCCTTCTTGTGAAATGGGCACAACATTGGCCCCCTTCCAGTCCTCAGGGACTTCTCCAGAGTGCCATGAGTT